CGTCCCTTCACCCCCTGCCTTCCCCTCCCCTCCTTTCCCTCTGCTCCTCCGGTAGCCGCCTTCCCCTCGCCTTCCTCCTCCCCCTGTTCCTCATCTCCATCCTCCTCACCATTCCTGACTTTACCGCCCCCTCGTTTCCATCACCCTTTTGATGATTTCCCTCCTCCCCATCGTCAGCATCATCGCCAAACATGTCCACACCATCCCCTCCTCCCTTCCCATTCCCTCTCTCCTCCCACCTCCTTTCTCCCCCGTACTCTCCTCGCCAGCCCCTCCCCCAGCAGCCCCTGTCGTGCCCTCAGGATCGCCTCGTACCCCTCCGCCTCCCGCTGAAACGTCTCCATCTTGTCCGAGTACACCTCTGGAGAGAGGGGGCGCATGACACGCAGAGAATCGCATTTTCCAGCACAGGTGGACGTGCAATGCCTCGTGCCCGTCTGCCTCTCTTCGAAACGTCTCCTTGTCCGAGCACACGTCAGCAGGGGGGGGGCGGGCGGCAGCATAGCACATGAGAGCACATGAGAGCACATGAGAGCACATAAGAGCACATCGCAGGTGAAGTGTGAATGCCTCGTACCCTCTCGCCCACGATGGAACGTTTCCTTCTTGTCCGTGCACACGTCTGCAGGAAGGGAGGGCACATGAAGAGCAGAGAGCAGCACATTCCAGCGCAGCACAGCCATCACGTGCTTCCACAGCCATCACGTGCTTCCACAGCCATCACGTGCTTCCACAGCCATCACGTGCTTCAACAGCCGGCATCCATGAGCATCATACCTGTCTCCCCCGCATCCATGAGCATCATACCTGTTTCCCCGGCATCCATGAGCATCATACCTCTCTCCCCCGCATCCCTGAGCATCATATCTGTCTCCCCCGCATCCATGAGCATCATACGACCTGTTTCCCCGGCATCCATGAGCATCATACCTGTCTCCCCGCATCCATGAGCATCATACCTGTCTCCCCCGCATCCATGAGCATCATGGCGTCTTCAGTGAGCTGCTCAAACAGCCGCTGCCTCGCCTCCAAGTCCATGCCCCCTCCTGCCCCTCGCACCCTCCGTCTCCTCCATCCACCGCGGTCTGTTCTGCTGCCTCCCGCCCTTCCCCCTCCCCTCCCCGCCCTCCTCCCCTTCCCCCTCACCCCCCGGCCGCCCCCTCTTCCTCCCCTGCTTCCCCCCCTTCGCTCCTCCCGCTCCCCCTTGCCCCGGCCCTTTCTTCCCCCCGCCTAGTCGCTTCAGACCTTGAATGACCTGCGCGTGGAGGAGGGGGGAGGGGAACGGCGTGGGATGGGGGGGTTGAGGGCGCGGGTGGGGGCGAGGGGTAGAGAGGCGGCGCAAGAGTCCATCTAATGGGGGTGCGGTGCGGCTGCCGCATGCCACTTCACTCCCATCCATGTGGGTGGCTAATGTGGCTCTCTGCCACCCAATTCCCCATCTGAGCCATAGCTTCGCAAACCCTCCACCCTCCCATGCACACTGCCAACCTTGTTGCACTCATCCCCACACCCCCATCCATGCTCATGCCAGCTGTCCAATTTCCCCCCACTTCCTCCCTTTGTCACTTAGGGTACATTCCGGAGCAAGTGTCAGACCCGAGGTCGACCCGTGGCCAAAGGAGCTGCGGGTTGTCACAGCCTAACTGCGGGTCTTATATTTTTAACAGTGCAGTGGCTGCACAGTGGCAAACTGTCGCAAGGAGAGGGTTGCGACTATAGTGGCCGAACTTTGCGAGTCCACCAGAAATTTGTGAGTTAATGATTGGTGGAAGTTCATTTGCGCGACATTGTTAGTTGTTCGGTTTGACAGCTGACTGGCTGGAGCCGTCAGTTTTTCGCACGGCCCGAGCCAGTTTTTTATCAGCCTCGGATCTTCCTGCTAAACCCTCGGGTGTAACACTCGGTGCAGAATTAACCCTTACCGTCTCCCCGGGGTTCAGCGCATCAGCAATGCGCCGCCTGATCGCCGCCATCTCCGCGTGCCCCATGCCGCCCTCCCCCGCCTGCTCCGCTGCAGCCGCTGCCTCTGCGCGCGCTGCCGCCTTGGCGGCCAGGGTGGGGTCCACCTCTGCTGTTGCCAGCCATGCGTCCTGAACGGGAAAGAGGGGGGGGGGGGGAGAAAGAGAGGAGGGAAGGGGAGGGGAGGGGGCGCATGGTTAGGGGACACAGCGACATGGCGTTGCCTCTGCCTGTGCTGCTGCTGCGGTGGCCAGGGTGGGGTTGACGGCGAGTCATGCATCCTGGTGCGGGTGGCAGGCAGGGTGAGGGTGGAATGTCAAAGTGACTGTAGAGGTGGCGCTGCCTCTGCGCGTGCGGCGGCCGTGGCTGGCGGCGTGGGGTGACCTTCAGCCGCTCCCAGCCGTGCGCGCTGGTGCGAGTGGGGGAGGGGGGACGCTGCACGGTGAGGGACACAGAGACACGGCGCACGGTTTGCGAGACTAAGCGGACGTGGGGCATACGGGACACATGGCGTGAGATTCACATGTGGGAGCACTTGCTTGCGGGATGGCCTGTGGCCAGCCCAGGGAGGGGAGGAGGGAGGCCGCACGGTGTGTGGGAGTGAGGAGGGGGAAGGCAGTGATGCAGTGATGAGGGCAGCGTGTGTGCGCCTCAGCTGGCAGGCAGACGGTCGGGGAGGGAAGGGCCACCTGGTATGGTGGTCGGTGGGGGCGGGGTGGGGTTCCTCTCAGGCTGCGCCAGCCATGTGGCGTCACTCGTGAGGGCTTTGCTCGCTGGAAGGTGGATGGTGCGTGAGGGCAGCCAAGTACGGGCGTCATGCGTGGGTGAATGGTGAATGGGCATGTGGCATGTGGCGTGTTGGTTGGAAAGATGATGGGCGTGGACTGCATGTGAGAAGCCATCCACGCATGTGAGAAGCCATCCATGCATGTCATGCCCAACACACACAGCTCCTCCCCGCCTTACAGTGGCCTCCGTGTCCTCTCTGTACTCCACGTAGTTGCCCTCGGCGTCGAAGTACCCCTCCTCGCGCTCCTGCTGCAGGTTGAACGGCTCTATCGCCTCCTTCTCCTCCTCCTCGCCCTGCTCACACCCACGTGCCATGCAACGCGCGCCAGACAGCACACGGCACGCAGCAAGAATCAGCATGCATGCAGGGTCCACGCATCAGCATGCATGCAGGGTCCACGCATGAGGGCTGTGCAACACCATCGCCAATCCCCATTCCACTCTTCCCCACGGCCCCCACCCCCAACAAGCCCTCCCCCCACACCCCTTGCTCCCTCCCTCCCTTCCCCCACACCCCTTGATTCCGCCCTCCCTTGCCCTAAAACCCTCCCTCCCTCCCTTTCTTCTCCTCCTCTCCCTTCCCTCCCTCCCTCCTTCCTCCTCCTCTACTTCCTCCCTCCCCCCTCTCCCTCCCCCTCTCCCCCCCCTCCCTTCCCCCCACCTGGAAGTCTTCCTCCGCGCCCACCACGTCCTCCACGCCCCCAAACGCCGTGTCCCCCCACTTGTTCTTCCCCCGCTTCCGCTGCTGCGCGCGCGCCTGCGCCGCCACGCGCGGGTCCGCGGAGTCCATCAGCGCCGCCGCGCCCGCGGAGCCTCCGCCCGCCGCGCCGGGCTCCGCGCCCAAGTCGTCGAGATCCATGGCGCTGACGTCAGCGGAGGGCGGCGCACCCTTGACCTTCTTGGGCTTCTTCTCCGGCAGCACTGCGCGCCGAGGCCTGGCGGAGTGCGCGTGCGGAGGGAAGAGGAGGGAGAAGGGAGGGGAGAGCAGGAAGGTGGGGAAGAGGGATGGGGTGGGGGTGGGGATGGGGGTGGGGGTGGGGGTGAGGGTGGAGATGGGGGTGGGGGTGGGGGTGGGGATGGGGGTGGGGGTGGGGGTGGGGGTGGGGGTGGGGGTGGGGAATTGCGCAGCACGAAAGGGAAAGTGGCGCGTGAATGAGTGGGACGAAGCTTTTGGCGGTGAATTCGCACGAAAATTATTCGACGCTACAGAAGATAGAGACGGCGCGCACTTGGTATCATCGTCGTCGTCGTCGGCGTCGTCGTTCCCCGAGAACCGGGCCTGCTTCTTCCGCTGCACCTCCTTGCGCTCCTCGCCCTTGCCCGTCCCCGCCGCCATGTGCTCCAGCTCGCCCGACATTGTCACACTCGATACAAGCGTCCTTCAGCTACTGCAAGCTCGCTTTCATTACATCCTACTAGTAATCCTGCTCTGACCAGTTTATTGAAGTGGTAACGAAACCCAGATAATTCGCTTGAGCCATCCGCTAAGTGCTGTCCAGCGTGTACGCTTACTGTCCACGGAACACGGTTCATTCGGATAAATCGCGGTCAGGAGCAGTTTCTGCGCATAACCACGTTGGACAACCAAGCACCACTGTGAACCGTATATATTGAATTGAAAACGTACGCGCTGGACACGCCCTAGCTCCGTCTAATTACTCTAGGACAATTCCTCGCTTGTGGCAGACTACTTTGTGGCAAGTTCTGTAGAGATTTTTTACGGTCCCAATTGTCAGAAATGAGATCTTACATGATCCTACACGTTGAAGGAGGCAGATGAAAACTTGCCACAAAGTTTGTCACAGGTGAAGAGCGCATCCTCAGCTAACGGGCATGCTGCTTGAGGTTCAGAACAAGCCAGAAATCCGAACTTCAACGGGTTTTAGGACGGTTTTGCTTGTTGAAGTGGGCTTGTCTACGGTGAAGCGCGGTTGGAGTTTTAGGAGAAAAGCACCACGTCTTACAGACCAATTTTGTCAATCTTGGCAGTTTCTGGGAACACGACTTTGTCCAGCTCATGTGGTTACCACTCGATGCGGAAGAACATCTGCGTCATAGCCTATCCAAAACTCGCTGGTCGTGACGAGACAGATCGTTTCTGTGTGGACAAGTCTATACCCTCTATGGTATCAAATACAATTTCTTTACAGCAACTTGATTATCATCAGCTTCGACGAACCCGCTATGCTGAATCAGCAAAAGACGACATCCCACCACCACACAATCAGGGCTCTCGACATCAGACAAAATCCGTCTGTTTGTCTGATTTTCAGACTCTTTTTTAGGCGTTCCTCTGATTTTTTAGAAACCTATTTCTAGAATTTCTGATGCCCTAGAAACTGAATTATAGTCCTTCTGAAATTTCAGAATGTGTGTTCTTGTTCTTCTGATTCTACAGACTTAGTGAATACGTTCGTCTGAAACCGATTACTGTGAGGTTGCATCCAGCCCCCCCAAAATCCCCGCGTGTACAGCAAATCGCTCGATAGCACGCCCAGTGGGGCATCATTACTTATAGTTTTGGCGCCAGCACAACGTCGGTGAGACAAGTGCTGAATCATATGTTGCTCACGGTGTGGCGCCGCAGTGGGCGATTGAGTCAGCCATGTAGTCTCATTGGCCCATCCCCTTCCAACACACAATGACTCTCCACAGTTGCCCTCAGTGCATCCATGCATTGGCAGCATCTCTCTCCCCCATTGGCTTGTCCTGTTAGACAGGGCAGAGCCCCTCCCATTGGCTTGTCCTGCTAGGTAAGGCAGCGGGGCCTCTCCAATTGGGTTGTCCTATTAGCCATTGCAGCATACTCTCCCATTGGCTTGTCGCAACATGCATTCCTAGCTGGCCTCCCCACGAACCTTCGTCTTAGGGGGAACACTCTAATCTACACCATTGAAACGGCTTGCGGTTCGATGCATGCTGAAAGAGAGGTGGGGAACTCCCTTTCTTCTTCACCCTTCTCTTCGACAAGCTCCCCTGTCCGCCAGTATGCCCTCGTTTCACTATCGTTACCGCACCCAGGTTGGACATGCCTCGTAGCGTACCTCGCTCGTTTGCTGCGCCAATGAGTTTTAGATGGCTGGCAGCGCCACCACTGATGACGGCGCCACCGCCATAGCACAGCCCGTTCCTGCTACAGCACCCCTAATGAGGGGCCTGGATTTTCTACGCCAGCCTCCGCCTAGGCGAGAGACGCCAGAGGCCGTGCCCGCGCTAGCTGTTAGTTCCCCAGCCGTGCCTCTGCCTTTCTCTGACTTACTCCCGGACATTGATGCTGAGCCTTTGCTCGCATCCACTCCTGCTGCCTCTCCTAGCTCTCCCACTGCTTCCGCGGGGATCCCTTCGCCTCCACTCTCAGTAGCCGCGATCCCAGCACTGCCTTCAAGACTGCCTGCTGGAAGGTACACGCAAAGCACCATTCGATTTGCGCGTACCCGAGTTCCTCACATCAGGCTAGAGACTTCCCGACCTGCTGCTGATGCAACGCCATCTGCGACCCAAGAGGCTGGAACGTCTGCTTCAGCCCCTGATCCGATGCCGAGCACGGGAAGCCACTCTCGTCTCATCCCCGACCCCAATGCACTTCTTGCAGAACTGAAGGCGAAGGCCAAAGAGCAGTGGGTGCGAAAATTCCCCTGGCTGCTCATCGACCAACGCCCCGACAGACGTCCGTGCATGAAGTGTCGATTGTGCATGGCGCACGCTCCTCCGAAGTGGCAGTACGGCAAATACGGCAATGGAGGTGTCGACATTCAGAAGCAGACGATGGTGAAGCACTCCCAAAGCAAGAAGCACGAGGCTGCGGAGGATCGGCAGAAACAGTTGGATGGCCTAAACGCTGCGCAGCCGAGCATTGTCGATTTCAACGACAATCAGGGAGCCGACGCGCGGCTCAGGCAGTTGATGATTGTTGTGCTTTGGATTTGCAAGTCTGATGCTTCTATTGCCATGTTTGTTTCTCTGGTCCGTCTTCTCTATGATCTCCGCACTCCCCACATCCCCGAGAAATCCCCCGGGTCTTACCAATCTCAGTAAGTTGGGCTCTGCAATCGTTTTGGTTAACTTAAATGTTAAAAACTCTCTAACCGTTGATTTTTTTCCTGCTGTAGGTACGGCTTCAAGCAAATCACAGAAGCACTCGTCGTTTACCTACGAGCACAGCAGATGAAGCACATTCAACAGTCGCCATTCGTGGGCATCCAGCTCGACGAGAGCACCGATAGGAGGCGTGGTAAACACATGATTGTGTACCTCACCTTCTTGAAGAACGCCAAGGTGGTGACCGAGTTTTTCGGGCACCTAACAGTTGAGAGGTGTGATGCGACCTCTCTACTGACGCTGCTGCTGGACCACCTTGAACCCACCTCCGTAGACCTGAACAAAATCAGTGGTATCAGCACTGATGGAGCCAGCGTCATGACGGGGGCGAACCGCGGCCTTGTCGCTCAGCTTCGCGCCAGGGTCCCGCATCTCGTGTCCTGTCATTGCATCGCCCACAGGTGAGATTGTTGAATCATACATTTGTATGGTGGTACCCTGGCATCCAGAAACATCGCTAATCTTAGTTACGTGCTCTTTGCAGAGAGGCGCTCGCGGCTAAGGATGTTGCCAACGGTTGTCCCGACCTCGATATCGTCGACAAAGTCGTCCGAAGCCTAGCCGACATCCTTGGCTCCTCCATTGTCGTGCACTCAAGATTCCAGGAGCTGCAGAGTCTCATCCACGACACGACACTTGAAATGCAGGGTATCAAAGACATTCGCTGGTTGTCTCGCGGTGATGCCATTCAGCGTCTCGTGCAAGTCTTTCCGGCTGCAGTGTTGCTGTTGTATGAGTTCGATGATGACATGTACCATGTCGTTAGCAGCTTTAAGTTCCACTTCCTTCTGTTTTTCCTGGCTGATGTTCTTAAGGAGCTCAACAACTTGAACAAGAAGTTCCAGCGCCGTGCGGTGAGTGTTTGCCCTGCGTGCACTTTTAATATCTTGTTCCTAAACTTATTAACTCTCCTGTCCCTTCAACTAATTTACCTTATGTCCTTCCCACCAAGGTGGCCCAGCTAGTAGAGAACACATGCAGCATCCTCCGCTCTCGCTACGTGGAGTATGGCGTCAACTTCGGCGAGGATTCCAAGCTACTCACCGAGTTTTTGGAGGAGCATGGCCCGAAGAACAAGCGGATGGTGACAATGGAGGGCATTGACGGCGCTGGCAACCCGACGGCTCACACCTTTAAGCTGCACGAGAAAGCTCTGTCAGGCCAGAAGAGTGAGGGAGACATGGAGTCATGCATCTCCCTTGTCACCCTTTTTGTGCAGGCCATCATCCGCAACTTGGAGACGCGGATGGAGAGCCTCAACAGTCTCCGTGGGTCGAAACTGTTCTTCCCCGATGCTTACCCCGACTCCGTTGCAAAGCGCGACCGTCTGTGCGCCGAGTGGTTCGGTTCACTAAAGGTCCTCTTCAACGCCGAACAGTGTGCCTTGCCGGGTGAGGATTTCTTCACTCAACCTTACATTAACCATGCACGTGGAAGCCCTCCCCCCCCTCCCACCTTGTGATGTGTCAGGCTGTGACTTAGTGACTTGTGGTTATTTACCCTCCCTTGTTCAGGAGTTGATTGGGGCAAGGCGGAAAGAGAGCTGCCTCGATTCACACGCATGCTCCACGGTCATTACAAGGATACGTCATTCCACAACTGCTTGAAGAACATTCTCAGATCCGAAGACTGGCGCACCTCCTATCCCAACCTCGTCCGCTTATGGGTGGCTGTTGCTGTTATGCCTCTCAGCACAGTAGAGTGCGAGCGCGGCTTCAGCCGCCAGAACATCATTAAGTCTAGGTTGCGTGTGAATTTGTGCGATGCCCGACTGACTGACCTGATGTGCATTTCGTTGCTAGAGTACCCGATGATGTGGGAAGATGTCATGGCTAACTTCCGTGCTTCAGTGCAGCGGCGGCAGGCAACAAATGTCGTGATGTCCCCGGCTGAGCCGCCTCTCAGACAGAAGAGGAAGAAAGACAAAGCGGTCAGCAAGAAGAAAAAGCGTCTAAAGAACGATGATGAGGCTGTAGATGTGCGCCGCACTATAAATGTAGATTGTGATTCTGATAAGGTAGATGGCTTAACGAGTTGGTGAAGTATCGTTTTCGCCTGATGATTAGGTACAAATTTAGAAATGTAAGGCTGGAACTTCTGATCTCCTAGAAACTCTACTCTAAAACCTCTGATTATTCAGAAACTGAAAGATCGGGCGTCTGATCGCCTAGAAAGTGGAAAATGCCTAGCGAGAGCCCTGCACACAATAGATGATTGTGAAAGCTTGCTTAGGTCCTCTTGTAAAGGCAGCGTGCTTCATTTCATCTGGGAAACATACATGGTTCTCGTCCAATACATAACTACGCACAAGAGGGTGGGTGGGCGGGGAAATTGAACTAGAGAAACTAGAAATGAAGAACGTGGGTGAGGCTGAATGGCCTCACGTCCCTCTTTTGTAGGCAAAAGAGGGTGACTAGCGCTTCGTCGCTGCCTTTGCTGCGTTGGCCCTCGCTACACTCTCACAATACACATTTTTAGAAAGTGTTACACACTTTAAAAAAATTACATATTGTGAAAGCTTGCTTAGGTCCTCTTGTACAGGCAGCGTGCTTCATTTCATCTGGGTCTTCTGAGACATGTGCAGAAGGGGTTGGCGGTGGCGTTGAATAGATAGCTGGTGCTGATTGGGCGTGGGAGCGGTGGCTGCGTCTTGGAGTTGCATGGAGGCTTGAAGGAGTTGGTCATGTGCGATGGTAACGTAGAGCTCCTTGGCATTATCGCTGCGCCAACGGCCAAGTCGCTTGAACAGCCGGTCGGATATCCCCAGGCTGGCTGCCGCTGTAGCAGCGCCCTTGCGAAAGGAGTGGGTGCCGAGGTGGGCGCTATCGAGGCCGGCCCTGGTGAATGCTTCAAGGCACCAGTTCCGGATGGTGGTGTACGAAGGTGCGTGGTCCTGTGGAGTTGCCGTACTGCTGTTCCCGAAGACTCAGATCAATGGCCCGTGTGGGATGGAGGTGTGACCCGCGAGGAGAAGAAAGTGTCGTGTGCAGCGTACCGGGCAGTATGGGCCGGAAGTGGCAGCGACCGGAATCCACGTGCCCCTGCTTTCCTGGTCGGTCTTGGAGTGCGGGATGAGCAGCCACATCGCCTCAGGCTCAAACTGTATGTCGTGCTATTGGAGACTGACAAGGTCGGAGTAGCGTAGGAAGGCGGCGAACATAAGGATGGGGATGAGTCCTTTCTGGTATTCGGCCGGCCGGGTGGACTCCAGAAAGGGGCGGGCCATGGTGTGCACTTGGTGCAGCGACAACGGTTCCTTGTTCCGGGTGGGGCGCGGGCCATGGCGTTTGGCAAATTCGCGCACTTGTAGTGTAAATGGTCCAGTCAAGGGAGAGGGCTCGCCAGTCATGCGATGCGCGAAGGCGACGGCGGAGCATGTAAGCGATATGGCAGATGTGGTGGCCTGGTGATTTAGTGCATGAATAAGGTAGAGTGCCAAGGTCATATCCGTTGCAGGCAGGTAGCTCAACTTCACCTTCATGCAGAAGGAGCGAAATTTGAGCCAGTAGGGCTCATACGTTCGGATGGTGGAAGGGGCACGGACATGGGTGATTACGTGTAGCAGTTGTGTTTGCAGCTTCGTTATAATGCCTGAAAAGGTACAGCATAGAGTATAATTATTATTAATTTTTATACGTGACATGCAGTGCAATCATCTTACTAGGAGGAAAGCCTTGTCCTGCGAAAGCGAGTGCGTGTGTGCCGGGGCGTAGGCATTGGCTGCCGTGGGTGAGGGGAATGTGTGCCGTTACTTCTGGCACCCAGGCGTCAGGTGCCTGTTGGAGGAGTGGCCACCATGATGCTCCCGGCCACTCGGGAATGACCAAGGTCACCTCAGCGTGTGTGCGTTTAGCATGTCGTAATGTGGCTGGAATGAGGTTGGGAGGGGGAAACGCAAAGCCGCGCTCGTGCTGCCAGCTGAACGAAAAAGCGTCAAACACTGCGGCCGTAGGGTGTGGAATCTTGGAACAAAACCTCTCCAGCTGAGCGTTGTGCACATTTGCGAAGAGATCGATAGAGTGGGGACCCAGGCGGCGATCCAAGAGCCGAAACCACGGGGCTTTGAGGGAGTAGTCATCGTGGTCTTGGATTTTTGAAAGTTCGTCGGCGTGCGCATTCAGCTCTCGTGGGATCCATTCGACAGCTAGCCTTGCTTGGTGTTCCAGGCAGAGGCGAATGATTGCTTGACATAGTAGCGTAAGCGTGGGGTGGCGCGATCCACCTTTGCGTAGGATGAATACCACGCCTTGATTGTCTACCCGAACGAGCACGTGTCGCTTGGGTATGCGGGCAGCGAAAGTTCGGAGAGCCCATAAAACTCCTTCGAGTTCCCGTCGAGTGCTGGAGGTGGGCAGTAGTTCCTCGGGCATGCGAGCACTGGCTTCAATGGGCGTCCCAGGAAGTTGTGTCAGGGTGGCGCCCCAGCTGTGTGCGCTTGCATCGACGTGGATGACGGCATCGAACTGGTGACTGAGATGGAATGGGTTTCCGTTGAACTTGTCGAATTGCGCAAGCCAAAAATGCAGCTCGTGCACTGCTGTCGACGACAAGTGTGCCTTGGCATGCCAAGAGGTGGCGTCTGCAATAAGTCGAAGGAGCTCGTAACTAAAGGCACGTGCCGTAGCGCCCAATGCCAGATTCATGGAGGCCAGCATTCCTGTGATTCTCGCAAGGGACCGGATGGGAACCGGTCGTCCCTCTTGTCCCTGGGCGATGAGGGCTTGGAGTGAAGCAAAAAGTTGTGCTCGACGTTCGAGTCCGACGGAGAAGGTGCCTTGGGCGGCATCAATCTCCAAGCCGAGGAAAGTTATCTGGCGTGAGGGGTGTAGATGTGACTTTTTGCCGTTTATAACAAAACCTGCTGCCTTCAGGTCCTGAACCACAGCTGCGCAGGTCGAGCGTGCATCCGAGTGGGAGTTGTAGAGGAATAGTAAGTCGTCGACATATGGAACAACCCGCACGCCGCTTGCCCGCCATCGCTTTGCCAGTTGTTTGATCAGTTGTGTGAAGACGAATGGGGCAGTGGCAAGCCCGAACGGGAGCGATATGAAGGAATAGTAGTCTCCTTCGAACCGAAATCCCAAGAACTTCCAGCAGGAGGGGTGGATCTCGACATGGTGGTAGCCTGACTTTAGGTCGATGGAGAACATCCAATCGCCTGGGCGGATGAGTTCGGCTACCCTGTTCAAGCCTTCGTACTTGAACTTGGGGATGTCGAGGTAGTTGTTGACTTTGCGCAAGTCAAGAATGAGGCGACATTTGTGGCGCTGCTCCACCACGTTAAGTGGACTGACACACATGAGCGCGTCCTTTGTAGGGACCTTAACGGCGGCACCCGAGGTGACGAGGTCGCGAATCGCTCCATGAGTGAAGTCCAGGTGTGTGTGAACTCCAGCATGATTGCTATCCTCAAAGGCATGTGGCACGCCTTCCTTCCAGGGAAGCCAATATCCTTTCGCGATGATGGACAGGATGAAACTGCTATCGCACCATGAGCACCACCAATGTAGGGCGTGACGCAATCGACTATGCATGACAGTTACGTCCTTGTCTGTAACCGCGTACTCGTAGAGGTCATGTTCGTTGTGTAACCATCCTTTCCCGATTTCTGCTGGACCAAGGGGTCGGGTGGCAAGAATCACATAGGTACCCAAGTGAGTGAGACCAGAAAATTGCCTAAAGGGTGGATGTGTCATAGTCAATTCCATGGGGGGCATAGCTTCCATTCATTTGGCAAAGCGAGAGTGGCTCATGTTCAATTTCAAAAAGGGCATGGCTGATATTCATGCCTTCTCCCTTCAGCGCTCGAGCCTTCGTCACCTCTCTCTCTCTCTCTCTCTCTCTCTCTCTCTCTCTCTCTCTCTCTCTCTCTCTCTCTCTCTCTCTCTCTCTCTCTCTCTCTCTCCCTTTCTTTGCTCTCTCTCTCTCTCTCTCTCTCTCTCTCTCTCTCTCTCTCTCTCTCTCTCTCTCTCTCTCTCTCTCTCTCTCTCACACACACACACACACACACACACATACACACAAACTTTCTTTCTTTCTCTTTCTATCTCTCTCTTTCTCTTATGCTCTTTCCCTTTGCTTTCTCTTATGCTCTCTCTCTCTCTCTCTCATCCATTCTCTCTCTCTCTCTCTCCTCTCTCTCTCTCTCTCTCTCTCTCTCTCTCACTCTCTCTCTCTCTTTCTCTCTTTCTCTCTCTCTCTCTTTCTCTTATGGTCTTTCTCTCTCTTTATCTTATGCTCTCTCTCTCTCTCTCTCTCTCTCTCTCTCTCTCTCTCTCTCTCTCTCTCTCTCTCTCTCTCTCTCTCTCTCTCTCTCTCTCTCTCTCTCTCTCTCTCTCTCTCTTTCTCTCTCTCTCTCTCTCAATCGGCCCTTTTATTATGTTTATAAGGGGTACAGAGGCACAGACAGGGTTACGTATGTCCTGGCCCGAGCATCCTACTGCTGCCCGGGCCACCTGTCGCAGGTAGGTTCAATGGTGGCTTCCAGTTCTCCCCAGGTAAGAGGTTCGTCTAGGGGGCGGTCGTGGCTGAAGGCTTGGCCTGTCACCTGGCCAATCTTCGCATGGAGGGTGATTGCCTGCTGCCGCTGGAGGGTGACTGACCACCTCTGGCGGTAGTTGTGCAGCACCTTCTTTGCCACCGCTGACTTTTCGTCGGCCCGGTGGTTCCGGCGAGCTAAGAGGGCGGCCAGTACTCGGAGGAACTCGAGTGTGTCGGGGGAGCAGCAACCGTATGTCTCAGTGGCGACTCCCAGCACCTTCACAAAGGTGAGTCGTTCGTCGTACAGGTCCCGCTTCTTGCCTTGTATTTCTGCCGCCATCCACCCGTCCCTTTCCGTGCTGTTGGGTCGCGGGTTGAGATGGGGTCGGTGACTGTGACGTCACAGACCCACACCGCGCCTGAGTCCGGGCATCGGAGGGTGATGTCGGCGCGGCGTTGGGCAGTTTCTGGTAAGTAGAGCGTGGATTCCATGTGGGCCACGAAGTGGGATTCTCGGGCCAGTCGCATCCCGAGGTTCACGAGCGCGTCGTGGGTCCGCTTTGGGCCCCGCCCAGGGTGCATCGTAGCATGTGGTTGGGCAGCCGGTTGTCTGGTAGCTCATGCTTGTCGCGGCAGTTGCATTTGCCGGGTAGGGAGTGCTGCAGGCCCATGCGGAAGGCTAGGGCCGTGGCAAATTGTCCCTTGCTCATGCATAGGTCCGGGGAGAAGGGGATGGCGACCAGCCAGTCCCCTGCCCCTGGCCCGAGCCAGGGAGAGGAGGCGCTGGGTGTGACCCAGGAGGGGTTGAGTGGCATGTACCTGGAGTCTGCCACTAGCCGTGCGTGCCTGGCCCCATGTACCTCCAGTGCTAGGGCATGCTGGAGCTTGGTGCCGGGTTCGTCGCGCGGGCGGGTGAGTGTTGGCTGCGCTGGTTGGGGAGTGTCGCTGCCAGGCGTTGAGCAGGTGGTGAAGGGGCGTTTCGGCGGTGACAGGGCGGAGTGAGGAGGTGGAGGAGGTCGGCGAGGGGTGAGGGGTCAGGGGGGTTCCATGGAGCGGAGGGAGGTCACCGGCCTGTAGTGCGGAGGCCAGGTAGCTGTAGCTGCCTTCCGTGGCGGGGTCAATGAGGCCGAGGCCTCCTATGGTGATCGGCAGGGTTGCCTGTCGCCAGAGGAGGTCTCGGCCTTCAGCGTCCCGTGGCTGCTGGAGCTCGCACGACTTGAGCGCTCTCACCAGCAGGGACTTCCCCCACTGCGTCCATTCCTCGGGGGGAGAAGGTGGTGGGGGTGGTGCGGAGGAGGTAGGATGCCCTCCTCGTGATGCAGCGGGTGAGGAGCAGCAGCGCGACTTGCGGGTGCAGTTGCTCTACCAGGGGGAGCGCCGCTGCCGCTTTTTCGAGCGTGCGGCGGATGATGTCCCGCATCCGTGGGTGGTGCCGATGGGGCTGCCCAGGACCTTGATTGCGTCGTGGGTGAGTGGTACTCCGGCGGGATGAGCGCGGGTCCACCGGTGCGGGTGACCAGGCGCGCACTTGCTGGCGTTGCAGGTGAGTCCAACCGCTGCTGCCCGCCTGTGAGGGCATAGAAGGCGGCTGCGCATGCCGGCGGCGGGCCGATGATGGTCACGTCGTCGGCGTATGCCAGTATGAGGACGTCAGGGTACTCCTCTGCTGTCATGGTCAGCGCCTGGTGGAGGGCGAGGGCGAACAGCATGGGGCCTAGCGGGTCGCCTTGCCGTACGCCCCGCTCGCTGATGAGCGGGTCAGCACCGAACGCGTGGTCGAGCAGCAGGCTCGATGGCCTTCCATAGGAGAGGCGGGTTAGGGGCAGCAGCCCTTTGAGAGGGCTGTCGCGTAGGGCGCGGAAGAAGGCGATGCGTTCGACTGAGTTGAACGCGTTGGAGAAGTCCACCTGGAGGAGGAGGTGTTCGGGGTGCTGTTCGAGGTGGGTTCTTGTTGCGTGCACCGCCGTCTCGCCCCCTCCCTTCATCGCCACTCCGAACTGCAGGGGCGCGAAGTGGGCTTGGGCCAGGGTCGTCGTGAGGTGCAGGCTGGCCTTGCCGAAGAGGCGTAGTAGGCACTCGCCGATGGCGATGGGCCTGGTTCCGCCGTCGGGTTTGGTGAATGCCAGCAATCTCGAGGCGGTGAGGAGGTCCGCCGCCTCTAGCGGCACTTGCCCTGCGAGTGCCGCGTTGGTCACTTCTGTGAGCAGTTCAGGACGTCAGCGTTCGAGGCGGCTGCGTCCCGCAGATGTTCGAAGCACATACCGCTTGGCCCCGCCCCGACCCCATTCGGGCTCCGTCGTAGTACGGTTCTGAGCTCTCGTGGGGTGATGGTGAGAGCGGCTGCTGCGGCGCTGTAATGGCGTCGGTGGGTGTGTGCTTGGAATGTCGCCCAGTTGGGAGGGCGTGTTCGGCGGCGGGGTGTTTGTCTCGGAGGGCGTTAAGTGTCTCCAGGGTGGGTTCGCACACCGGGGTGGATTCCAGGGCTTGGAGGGCCTTCCGCAGGTTCCGCGCTTAGTGAGTGTTTCCGCTCGGGCTAAGTGCCCGGCGGTGTCATTCGCGTGGCGTGGGGGTCGTGGTAGTGAAATCGAGGTCACGGCCTCGTCGTACAGTGACTCCCAGGCGCCGGTGGCGAATTTGCGACAGCGTCGTAACATTCCGTTCCCAGTCCGGCTTCCTCGTCGACGTGGTTGCGAGTGTCAGGCGAGGGAGGAGGAGTAACAGGCGCCAACCTCCTCTGCTGTCCCTGTTACGCGCGAGGTGTAGCAGCGGTGTCAGCAGGCAGGACGCGAACTCCGCCAGGATTTCGCGCGGTAGGCGACGTGCCAGGGGTGGGAGCCTGGAGTCGCGGAGCACGGTCATGTCCCACTCGCAACTTTGGCGAAGAGTTCGTCGTTCTTCGCCAACGCCAGAGGGGATTGTACCCGCGCTGCAGGGGTTGGTCTGGGCGACTGTCGAGCCGCGGCGGGTGTTGGATGTGGCGGCTCGCCGGTTGGATTGGCCGGGCCGCACATTTGCGTCTCGGCGGGGGAGTCCTCCAAATCTCCCTCGTCTGGGGCGCCTTCCCAGTTTACCCCGATTGGGGGGTATAAGTGGGGTCGTTTGCGTTTTGAATTTCATCGTCCTCTCATCAGCTCCCTCCGTGTTCCCTTCGCTGCTCCCCGCGTAGCTCCTCCTCCTGGTGTGTCTGCAACTGGAGTGCAGCACTTAGCCAATTTTCCATCCCTCGGTCCGTCCCCGTCCGCCCGCTTCTGACTCCGTCGCCATTAGCGTCGTTTGCTGCAGCGGCTGGGTGTGCTCCCCGCGCCGATCTTCGCGTTGTAGACGCGCGGCGACGCCGCGGAAGGTTGCAGCGCCTGTCGACGCTCGCCCGAGCCCTCGTCCGCCCCTCGTTCCTCTGTGCCCTCGGGTTGTGCTTCTCGCCCGCTCCCCCCCGGGGCCGCGGTTGTACTTGCGCGGGCCGTGGCTCGCGTGTGCGGGGCTCTGCTTCTTTCCGGCTGCGCTAGAGATGACGCAGGGGTTGCTCTTCTCCCCCTCGCGCCTGCCCCTACGTGAGGCGGAAGCGTCCCCGTCGCCGGTGGGTTCTCCTTCCGGCGTCTCGCTGGCTCTGTCGCCAACGTCTCAGCTGCGCTTGGAGTTTCGGCAGCAGCAGGTCCAGGTGGCAGCGATCGCGAGCGCCTCGAGCAGCTTCTGCGGCTGCCTCGGTCCGCTGTTGGCGACCGGGTCGCGTGTTCTCCGCCGTCGCCTGCGCCCGCGCCCGCGATTGGCGAGGGTTTCGGGGGAAGTCCCATGGATCGCTCCCCGCGTCGCCCGCTGCCCCGTCGCCAGCTCAGCCGTCGTCGTTTCCTTCTCCGTCTCGGCTTCCGCCGTCGCCTCCCCCTTCCGCCCCCGGCCCCTCTGGCTCCCCCTCCTCGGGGGGTTCGCCGGTGGTCCCGACTCCTCTCCCCGCGGGGTCCTCCAACCGCCTCCTCTGCCTCCTCCAAAGTCGCCAGCGGGACCACCAGCCGCTGTCGGACACGCGTCGTATCGGGTCAGGGCGTGTCCGCGGGGTCTCCGCCCCTGCCGTTTCGTCCGATGAAGCGTCCCCGCGGGGGCGCGCGGGCTCTCGGGCAGGGTCACCTCCGACCGCAGTGCCCGGAAGACGAAGGGACCCCTCCGCCCCTCTCCGGTCGTCCTCAGGAGTCGGGTTTGCGGGTGGGGCGGGGTATGCCGCCGACACCAGTGGATGTGCTCGGCGACCCGCCGCCGTTCCTCGTCCGCCTGTCCGCCTGGCGTCGCCGCACGCGTTCTCGCCAGAGGCGATGGCCGGCGTCGTCGCATGTATTGGCGCGGTGGCGGAGGTGCTGGATTGTCTCCGCCACCGCCATTGCAGGCGCCTCGGAAACCTGAGGCGGCGGTCGTGGCGGCTCGCCGCCAGCAGCGACGCGCGATGGAGGCCGCGTCGCTACTCCTCTGGCGGCTGGCCTATGGGTTGCCGCCAGGAGCAGAGGCGGGGGAGCTGGATCCCGCTCCTCGCGCCGTTGATGAGTTGAATCGGTCGCTCGTGGCGAATCAGCGCCCGGCGATCTTGGCCGCTTGCGCGGCGGTGCTTCGGGCTTTGGAGAGTCGGGCCGGGGCCCTTGTCCCGCCGTCGGCTTTGGAGGTGTAGTAGGTGGCGGTTGTCTGGCGTGTAGGCCAGGTCCCCGCCATCGTGCGCTGTGGGTGCGCCGTAGCCATAGGCTATTTGCTAGGTTGTAGCCCCTGTGGAGGCATGCTTGTATGCTGTAATGTCCCTGGTTTTGGAGTGGATCCCTGTCCCCGCCCTTCTCTGCCCTCCTGCGCGGCCGGAGGCGCCGGCGCGAGCGCCGCTGCAGGGACCGGATGAAGAACTCAACTCGAAACTAAATAATGAACTCTAGGATGGGTGGAAGAGCCTTATATACCATGGGCTCTCTTCTCTCTCTCTCTCTCTCTCTCTCCTCTCTCTCTCTCTCTCTCTCTCTCTCTCTCTCTCTCTCTCTCTCTTCTCTCTCTCTCTTCTCTCTCTCTCTCTCTTCTCTCTCTCTCCTCGCTCTCTCGAGCGCCGCTGCAGGGACCGGATGAAGAACTCAACTCTTCTCTCTCTCTCTCTCTCTTCTCTCTTTCCTCTCTTCTCTCTCTCCTTCTCTCTCTCTTCTCTCTCTCTCTCTCTCTCTCTCTCTCTCTCTCTCTCTCGCTCTCGCGAGCGCCGCTGCAGGGACCAGAACGGAACTTCTCTCTCTCTTCTCTCTCTCTCTCTCTCTTCTCTTCCTCTTCTCTCTCTCTCTCTCTCTCTCTCCTCTCTCTCTCTCTTCCTCTCTTCTCTCCTCTCTCTCTCTCTTCTCTCCTCTTCTCCTCCCCCCCTCTCTGCCTTTCCTGGCCTCTGTCCTGCCTCCTACTTCTTCCCTTCCCTTCTGCGTCGTTCCATTGCTCCTTCGTATCATGAGCAGGAAGATTGCCTCAAATCGTCTCTCAGGTCCATCCCGAATCAATAGGAAACCTCACAAGCTTATCCGAGTTGTATGGCTCCAATTTTGACCAGACCACTTCGTTTCCCACGTTGCTTCCATGTTGGATGCGCGGGCATGAACGAGGAACCAACCTTGCGTCCTTAGGGCAGGATGATTCGTGTGGTGCGCAACTTGGTCTATCACATGTTGCACTTGACTGCAGCACCCATACAAGTAATACATGGTTATCTTTGACATGTGCTTGTTCTCATCATTTAAGCACTTGCCAGTCAACATGTTCTGCCCTCCTCATTCGCTCCGCCTCTCTCATTCTCCCTTTCTATGGTCCCCTCTGCCATGGAATCGGACGCACTTACAATCGGGTCCTTCAGTAAGAATGGCCGGATGCCACTTGCGTTGTTTGTGAATCTTCCATTCGATATTGTAATTCTTTGGGTTTCCACCACTGACAATATCTAAGCCCGCATCCATTTTGTCTCACGGGACGGGACTGATTCCATCCAGTATGGGGCCATACCTACATTTTTCTCCTCTGCCCTCCCTTTATTTTCTCAAATCCTCCATTGTTCCCTATCCTCTGTCTCTGTCCATCCCCACATAATTCCCTCCATCCCTCCCTTGTTGCGTACATCCGTACAAACCTCTATCCAGTCAACAGCACTCACTTTCGTCCTTCCTCTCTCCTCTTGTCCTCTTTCTTGACCCCTACCCATCCACCTCGTGTCCCATTAGGGATCTATCAAACAACAGTTTTACCAGCTTTATTCCATCAACCATTGGCAGCTTAAACCTGATATTCCTGTCAGTATAATGGGATATTAACAAGGGGAAAAAGTTCATTCTCGATGTGACATGCCTTGATTTTATTATGTATTATCAATGCTGTTAGGTGCATTGGGGACATAATCCTTTCTGGCAGTGCCGCATGTTGGATCACAGCACATGAGCCCTTCAGAAGTTCCAACTGTGATTTTTGAATGCTTATGCAATTTTTTAGATGCTGTGCGTGAAGTGTACCCTAAGCATTCTGTGTTTTCTATCACCAAGTTTATTTGTCGTCTTATTGCTCTCATTTTCTCGTCCATGCGCCTCTGCTATGCCTGAGTAACCCTATTCGTTTTAACACATTAACTTCTGCTCAACTTCCCTTTCTGGTTTAATCGCTGAATCCATTAGAAACCGTAGCAACATTAACCAGCTGTTTGACTCGTTTAAACCATCTTACTTCGTACATATGTTTGCAATGCTTGGTTTGATGAGAGAAGACGATTCCAAGACCATATGTACATAGTCATGAGCTTTACAGAGCGATGTCAAATCCAAGCAATCTGGTAAAGGTCTGTCCCCTGGTAGTGTAGCCTATGTCATATTTGACCTAAGGCAAGAGGGTGCTGTCCCAAGCTTTGTCACATGTATTGTATAGAGTCTTGGGGCCTTAGCAAACTTAAATGTATGCACGGTTGAAGAAGCACTAGGACCGAAGAGGTGATGGTGGGTCACCAAGGGCACCAACGATGCCGACGAGTTGAAATGTGAGAACCACCATCCGCTTCCAGTGGTTGAAGTTAGAGCCATCGGGGAGGAGGGAGGGTAAAGTGAGTCGTCCCAAATGGCTGTCCACAGTGGCCATAGCCCAAAATAGGACGTCCACAAAAATTTACGCGATGGCCTTAGCTGAAAGTCGAAGAAAATGTTGTCAGGGGTGGGAGGAACGTTACAGAAACATTTACGGTTGAAAAATCTACTCAGATGCAGATGGGCTGGACCAATAGAGGCTTAGCTATAGCTCTGATTACCATGTAGAAAAGTAGACTTGATGTGCATAGCTGTAAGATGCACAAGTTGGAGATGGTAACGATAGGTTCCAAGAGGAGCCCTAGAAAGTGTAAGACAAAAAAGTCAAATAAAGATGACAAAGACATTAGGCTAAGTAGGCCCAGATTGTGAAGAAGAGAGAGATGGAGAAGTGCTGGGCGACTTGGGCTGGTCCAGGTGAGGAGAATGGCACCCAAGAGGCTTGGGGTGCCCAATTGGGTGCTCAAGTCGCCCATAGTCAAGGTGGGGACGTGAGGAACCCCAAAGTGGGCCTGGAAGCGCCCCCACTAGTGGAACCGCAATTCCACAAGTTGGATTCGTGGTTCCACAAGCTGGAACCGCGTTTTCATGGTTGAGAAACGTGGGTCCAGGTTGGAGTCGCGTCCCAAATGTTGGGATGCGTGGTGAGGTACCCCAATTCGGATTCTGGGTGCCTAGCCTCTGATAAAATCACTTGGGGGGCACCCTATTCCTAATATGACCCAATTACTAATGTCTACACCTAATATAATGTAACACATTACACATAACAGAGAAATGTACTAAGTTGACTACATCCCAGATAAAAGCCTAAAACAGATCCAACAACAATCACATTTTTACCGCGGGATAGGGCTGCGAGAAAAATGTGAAAAAAATATTTGTCCATCGCACGATACTCTATTCCAATAAAAAATATTGCAATCGCAAAAACGTGATAAAAACGATGCGATATTTGCTATGCTATGCTATATGCTCATGTTTAGTGCCAGCCATCTGCCCTGTTGACAAAAGTTGCTGGCAGGTACACTGCCCTTTTAGTGAAAACAATGGGGTTAGAAGTTTCCCACAAGTCAGCGTGGGAAACTTTCAACCCCCTTTGGTGTCAGTGTCAATCTTCCAACTGCCCTTCGGTGCGCTTTTCCCCACTACGCTCACCATTCCGCGACCTCGCTAGCTCTCCCATAGGAGGCAGACCTAGACTAGACACCCTTCACTTCACCATCTAGCATGTGGTATCGTTTTAGGCCGGCAGGCATTTCCTACATAACGCAAACCCTTTTAGTGGTAACTCTAGAAATTTACATGAAGCGGAAAAATTAACGTGTTTTTTGTTTTGATTTTGGAAAATTTTGCCATCCGGTTTTAGAATGTACGTATTTATGAGTAAATAAACGTAAAAGTAAGTTTACGAGTAAGTTAACATTTACGCGACCTCCTAAAACGTAATTTGGAGCAAGCTGGAACCCAAGAAATGTGGTGAAGGGCTGTCAGCCAGCACTAACAACGTACTGCATATTCAACATACTGCTTCCTCAGAAGGGTGCTGATTAACATTTGTCTCACATGTAGAGTCCCTTCCTCTCTGGCTCCAATCTGGAGTCCCTTGGGGACCGTACCGACCTAATAGAAACGCATGGCTCCTCTTCCTGATATGTGTCCAATCATTTCTTCTCCAAACTCGATGCTATCTCAATTTACACACTCCAGATCCTTTGAAGAAAACAATCTCAGTGGCTCGATACCGGCAGAAATAGGCAACCTTCAAGCTCTGACCGCGTTGTAAGTTCCATGATTATTCAAAGGCTAGACGCCTTTACCCCTTTTTCGTATGATAAGCTTCCAGTCAAACATGTCCATATTTCACCACCATGACATTCTTTAGTATTTCTCGGATCTATTCCATCCTCTATGTACTAGGTTTAGGGGGGACAGGGCCGAGGAAACCAGTTAGGGGATCACACTGGTACGTGCAGCACTACATTTGTGTTTTTTGGACTTCACCTCTTTTGTCAAGTTGCTGTCATGATGGATCTGCAGGCATACAACAAGAAGATTAAGTTGTACGACAAATCAGCCTTCTTTTCTTTGTTTCTTTTCTTCATTCAATGCCCTCCTCTTATCCTCGCCCTCCATGGCTCTGGACTCAGGTACCTCGCCAAGAACAGCTTGACTGGCGTTATTCCTGACTCCATCAGCAGCCTCACGAATCTTACCGTCCTGTGAGCGAGAGCTGTCTCCTCTTTTGGAGAAGCGGATCATAGCCAGGGCCACGTGTTGCCCTTGCATCAGCTCAAATGGCAGCTTGTGTTTGTCACAAGGCTGACAGACCTGCTGATGCTCCCATTCACATGCCATAGCATTGCTTGGCTCTTCTGTTGGACGCTACTGCATCTACAATAAAGAAATGGTTCACTTCACTAATTTGTTCACAAATTTGCTGCCTGGCCACAAATCGGCAAATGAGCGCACAGAAACACATCTGAGCTAGCCCACCAAAAGCGAAATGCGAACAGCCAACCACAATCTACCCGTAACCATGCACAGGACACGTGAGGTATAGTAATGCGAGATTGCTGGCTCCATAAGCACCCACACAAATTGCTAGCTCGTCCCACATTCACAAAACCCCATGCATCCTGCGTTCTTAATGTGATCACTCTTCGGTCCCTGTATATTTCCATCGTGTGAAAGCAACCCTTGATTTGGCTCCCTTTTATGGCCTGCAGACGTCTCTGGGGAAACAATCTCAGTGGCTCGATACCGGCAGAAATAGGCAACCTTCAAGCTCTGACCGCGTTGTAAGTTCCATGATTATTCAAAGGCTAGATGCCTTTACCCCTTTCTTGTATGATACAAGGCTGACAGACCTACTGATGCTCCCATTCACATGCCGTAGCATTGCTTGGCTCTTCTGTTGGAACGTGTATGCAAGGCACGTTACCTCTTCTGGTTGCTCTTTACTTAGGTGAGAGAAGACAATTCCAAGACCATATGTACATTGTCATGAGCTTTAGAGCAATGTCAAATCCAAGCAATCTGGTGAAGGTCTGTCCCCTAGTACTGTAGCCTATGTCATATTTGACCTAAGGCAAGAGGGTGCTGTCCCAAGCTGTGTCACATGTATTGTATAGAGTCTTGGGGCCTTAGCAAACTTAAATGTATGCACGGCTTCTATTTCTCCAACAGTCGTTCTGTGCATAAATGTTTCTCATGACTTCTGTTCTTGATTGAGTTGAGTTCGTTACACCTTTATGCCTTAGCCATGATTTATGCCTTCAGCCATTATGTCTACCAAGGGGAAATGTGGCCCGAGGGAAAGATTGGGGGACTGGTGCTGGTGCTAGTATTTTTATCTCTTGCCATGCTTAATGCCCCAACTCGTGCTAATGTCTACTGGCATGTAAGCCCATGTGTGTTTTTGGAATGACTCCGCTGTCCACCACCCACCACACATTCTCCTGTGTGGTAGAAGTCTAGGCTCGCTCCCATATTCTATCTCATGTCCTTCTCTCCATGTTCTTTGGGCTCTCCTCCCTCGTCCATCTCGCATTCACTAAACCTAACGTCCGTGCCATCCTCGCGATGCCTCACTTTGTATCACGAGCAGGGCGTTTTCCTCAAATCTCCTCTCAGGGTCCATCCCCGAATCAGTTGGAAACCTTTCAAACTTATCTCAATTGTATGGCTCCTAATTTGACCATACCACTCCGTTTCTCAAGTGGCTGTCATGTTAAATGCACGGGCATATAACGAAACGGGTTATGCTGCACGAGGAAACAACCTTGTGTTCTTAAATGTCGTAAGTCTGATCGCATTGTGAGCTGTTGAAATTTGTAGGGCGGGATGATTCGTGTGGTGCGGAACAGAGCCTATCATGTGGTTACAGCTCCCATATCCCTCATCATTAGATGCCCCACAACTTCGTTACGCACTTGCTAGTCAACAAGTGCATTTCTCCTCATTTGCTCTGCCTCTCCCATTCCTCCTCTTCTCCCCTTTATTGATCCCTCCTCCCATGGGATCCACTGCGTGCCCCAAAAGAGATCTAGCGTATAACGGTCTGACCGGCTCTATTCCATCAACCATTGGCAGCTTGACCAGCCTGACATCTCTGTCAGTATACAGAATGAGACCACTCGACCATGA